ATCATAGAATCATAGATTTTTTTTGTCGTGCTGGGGCATCCCACGAGGGTTTAGATTTGGGGGGGGGGACTGGGGGTCTGGCCGCGCCCTTTGCTTCCCCACGTTCAAGTCTAAGGTTGGGAGCGTTGTTGGAGGTGACTTTGCTCCCAGGTGCTGGGAGCAAACCAGTATTGCAGCTTTTACTAGCTGGAGCGATGTACGGGAGTCTGTCAAAGATGAGATTGGGGATTTTTAGGCGCAGAATTGCTAGTTTGGCCATGAAGGGGTTGTGTTGGTAGTGCTGCGACAGCTTCTGGTCTGGTGGAAACACCAGTGGGAGGTGTGGTGGGCCAGATCCGGGCAAGGAAGGTGGCAAAACAGGGCAGAGCATGGCAGTGGGCACTGCCCGTCGCCTCCCCAGCAGCTCCTTGCTACCCATGGTCCCCTCCATCCACCCCTAGTTCTCTCGGAGCTCCCCCCATCCCCTGTGCCGTGCTCGAGGCAAGACAACCAGCAGGCATTTCTACCCAGAGATGTGGGTGTTGCTGGACCTGGTTATTATTTTTTTTTTTCTGATAAATTTTGAAACAGCGCTGTGTGCCATCTTGCCTTGTCTGGGACTCAGCTGCGGGCTGCGTCTGGTTTTCCAATGTAGCTTCTCTGGCATCTCGAGAAATATTAATAATATTTCATTGTTTGTGGCACCCTATCTGGCTAGATCTGGAGATCTCTGTGCACACAGTTCTATCTAGAAACCTGGGATTTTTCCTCAAATCATTCGTATCTACTACATTCTCACTTAAACCTTGTCCCCATTCCAAAGGAAAGGCAGGTTGCTTTTTTCTCTTAGATATAATGGAAATGGTAAATAAATATTTTGCCGTGTGCCAGAATAATCAGACCAATGCATATAAATAAAAAATACTCCCATTGCAAGAGCCTTAACCTCAACCAAGTCAGTTGAGAGTGTTTTCCCGAGTCCCATTTCTTTGGACCACTCCCCAAAAGCTTTACCTAAATTATCATCCAGCTATAGATTTTAGAATAGGAGAACACTCTTCTGCTGTTCTGATTCGGTGTTTTTGCTCATCTCACTGTTTTTACCACGGATGAGTTGCAGTTGGGGAATTCCTAGCTGTTTTTACTTTCATTTTGCTCTGTCTTTTGCTTATCGGGTCCCAAAAGGCACCGAAGGGCTGTGTGCCTCAAGAGAGAGGTGGGTTAGCAAGTGAAGACATCAGGGCAGTGGACATTGTACCCCAGCTCCTTTGTTTTGTGACCCCCACTTCGTTTTCGGTGCCGCTGCTCTGTTTCTGGGCTTGCGGTAATTAGCACGTGCTCCTCGGAGCATGCAAGAAGTTGGTAGGTTTGCAACAGGGAGCTTCACATTTCGGTTTTATTTTTCGTGGCTGGGAATGGCGTGAATGCCAAGTTGGGGAGGGGAGGCAAGGCGTATTTTTGCAATGTGTTTTAATGGTGTTTCTGCATTTGAAGGGCGGCGGCAAGGGTCAAGGCTCAGAAGTTTTCTGGCCCTTCTTGGGAGGTTTTTGTGCTTCGTTTCGAGCTCAGAGGTATTTGACTGTAGGTCGCTGCCCATTGTTTCTGGTGGTCTGATTTAGCAGAGCAGTACTAGTATAGGAGCTGTGCAGTATCGTGTGAGCTTTCATCTAGCCTTTCAGTGTTTTGTTCTTGAATATGCATCTTTAATTATTTCATATGAGTCTACCCCTTTGCCTGAATGGTTTTCAGTCTTCATTGGCATTAAGGTCTGATTATTTATTTATTTTTTTAATGTGGTCTTATTAAGTAGGCAGTTCTCGGTCATCAGGGGAATAAAGTCAGGGCATTGCTGTCTACAGGTTTCTGTTTTTTGGCTGGAGAAACGTGAAATGATGGTCCCTAAAGGTTGACTGATCAGGCTACTGGGAAATGAAGTTTGTTTTGTGGGAAGCCCTGTTATTTTGCAGTTTGTTTAAATTAGAAATGTTTAAATGTTTTCTTTTAAGCTGTCCAGTTAATTGGAAAAGTGAAACATTGTTTCTTTTGTTGTTAATGTGTGTGTTACTATTAGCATTCTTTACTTGTATAATTGATAATATAAAATGAATTCCATTATAAAACATTTTCAATGAAAAGTTGCAGAGTCCTTTCCAGCAAGGCCCAGAGTTTCAGTTTTTGGCGTCATGGAGTGGCTTGAGGAGAACACTGGTTCTGCTTAAGCCCAATTTTCTTAGCATTTCACCAGGAACTTTTTTGTTGTTCTTGTTAGAATAGTGAATGAGAGGCATTAGAGAATTTTTACAAACTGGGGGTTTTACTCACAATTTGATGGATCCCAGAGCTGCCTCACTTCATGTAACGCATCCTGAAAGCTTGATCTGGAAGGGGAACCTGGGTAGAGTCTTTCTTGCGGTGATACTGTATTATGACAGGATATGGTGATGCTGCATAATAACCAACTTGTGACATGGTTTTGACCTGAAGAGTCAGAGATTGGTAAAAGAGCGTACAGGATCACCAGCTTTGCTCTTATCGGATGTCTGCTTGGCTGTTGGAGCGCAGGAACGGAAGAGACTGATTAGGCCCTTCCCATCCAGTCCTCTGCTGTAGCACTCAGTCAGGTTATATCCCTTTGCCGCATTAATTTGGCTCAAAACATCCGAGGCTGTTCAAAGAGGCAGTACAGAGAGGGCAGAGAGTGCTGCTGGATTATGGGAGAAGGGGTATCCTCTTAAACATGAGGGGGATAAACATCTTGAGCAGTTTTACCTCCAGTGCTCCAACTTGGCGCCTGCTTTTTGTTTTGTCTTCAGCTTCTGCGTGCGTGCTATGCCCAGCAGCGATGTGGGGAGGTGATGTTCTCTCCGTGCAGTGTGCCCCATGGAGTGGCATGGCTCTGCTGTGAGATCACCCCAGCACAGCCATAACTTTTTGATGGATTAGGAGTTGTCTGTGCAGATGGGAAGGTCTTGGCTCTTTCCATCAGAGTGCTCTTCTGTCTTTGACTTCTGTTTTGAGTTCTTCCCTCGGCTCCATAGAAATGTCCCACTTTCCTCCTTGGCCAGGTCAAGAAGGCGGCAAAAATAAAAAGCCTGAAGGCCTGTGGCTCACTTTACTGTGGATATCTGAATGGTCAGTGCAGAGGAGAGCATGTCTGGGGCGTGAGGGCTGAACGCTAGAGAAGGTGGGCTCCGCAGCACGACTCCCCCATCCCTCCACCCTGGTAGTGGTGGAGTGGCTGCTGCTGTTGGGTTGGGAAGGTGTTTGCTCAGGAAATGGCAGGTACTGGGGAATGGCACCGTGTGCGCCATCCCAACAGGGTGCTTCCACTCCACAGTGTTACCGGCTTTTTGCTGAACTAGGTTGGTCACTGTCCCGTCCCCACCCCACGTAAACTCAGGTGTTACAGCAACTGGGGGAATTTCTCCCACACCACACACAGTGCAGCAGTCTTGGACCTGGAAGGACCGTCCCCTCTACATGCAAGACAGGTCATTGGTGGGGACGTGGAGCATGTGGTTTGGGGGTAGTGGGGGGCTGCTCCCTGTGGTTTCTATTTCTCAACCTTTCTGCAAACATGGTGATGGTAGTTGTAGTTGGAGCTGGCTTTCAACATCAGTGTAGGCAGCTGTCTGCCGGGGGTAGCACAGTGGCACGGTCCTGATGCTGCTGTAGCCTGGGCTGGGGTCCTGCTGCAGGGTGTTTGGAGGCGTGCAGGACGGTAATGGCTTTCCTTGACCCTTTTCCTCTGGTAGGTGTGGTTGGACACCAGCCAGCACCAACTGCAGTGCAGGGAGAAACAGTTCCCTTTGCCATCTTCTGAGAGACCGGGGAGCTGGCACTGGCACGAGCGGTGTTTTCAGCCCCTTGCACCTGAAACTCTTTTGCAAGAGCTGTATAACCTCAGCGGATCAGCTTTTCACAGTTTTTCTGGTGTGACTGACTGCCTGACTTGAGCAAGCTACTGCTTCTTCTGCGTCAACTTCCATGGAGGGGCTAAGAGCAGCAGGTTGGCATAGAAGACCAGCTCAAGTCACGCAGTGACACCAGGAAAGCTGTGATTCCCCTGAGGTGTTCTGTAAAGCCTGTCTTCACATGCATCTTAGGGCACAAGGCTCAGTCCCACATTGTCATCACACCAGTAGTGGATCCTCCAATGTCCAAACTTGTGGTCACTGCTGGTTTGAGTTGAGGTTGCTTCCTAGAGATGAAAAGTTCCACAGCTGATCCCAGGATCAAAGGCAAGAGCTTCTAGATCTGGGACCCGTGTAATTGCCCGTGTACTTTCATATCTACATCCTGCTCTGTTGTTATTATCCCTAGGCATCTGCACCGAGTGAGGCAACTGCATATAGGCATGCACCGTATGTTGGGGTGTGACTGTGTGCTGAAACGCTGCCACTAGCAGATCAGTTCTTCATCAGGGTATGGAGCAGAAGCCACCTTTGCATTTGACAGCGGAGAGGAGGCTGACCACACAACAATGCAGGTAGGAGACTGTATGTGCACGGCTTTGCTGTGGGAAGGAAGTGAAAGTGGAGGGTGACATTGTCACCAAAGCAGAAATGAATTGTTCATCCCCACAAAATGAGCAGCAAGAACAGCTGCCTGAGCCCTTTGTTCAGGGAAATACCTTGCTCTTAGAGTCCTGTGCCTCCCCAGAGGTCCTGCTGCATGTGAAAGATACCTGAGATGTTATATTTGGCAGATGGCCACCGCAGCGATACAGACGTCAACAGAGCTTCTCCCTGGCTGAAGCCAGAGAGACTGACTCCTGTTGTTTGCTCCTGTCCCTTGCAGTACCGCTGCACGAGGCACGGTGCAGACAAGCACTGTGGTCCTTGCGCCACGTAATGGCTGGGCTGGGATTTGCCACACGACCTGGTGAGAGTAAGGCAGATGAGAAATGCTGGGTTGGACCAAGGGGTAGAAAAGCAGATCAAGTCATCAAGGGCTGTGCTGGCTGCTTGACAGCAGGGCTGTGTGGGTGAACATCTCTCACTCCTATGCCCATTGTTACCCTTTCTGGTTTCATCCTTCTAGCCTCCATTTCAGAATGATGATTTAGACCTGGAAGCAGCTGTAGCGAGCGCCCGCCCCCAGCTAGTGGAGTTCCTCAGTCACCATCTCGGCTGGCTGCTCACGACCTCCCGACGCTTTCTCCCAGGGATGGCCCTGAATGGCCTGGATGGCATCACCGACCACAGAGAAAAAGTCTCAGTGCTTCTTGACCTGCTGGAAAAGGCTGGCCCTGCCACCTGGAAACAGTTTGCACAGTACCTCTGCATGGAGTGCGACCTCCCCCTGGATCTGGAGATACTGCTCATAAGTTCTGCGGGAGAAGGTAATGGAGATCGGGCCAGTTTCCTCTGTCCGTCTCCAAACACAGCCAACGCCTTGGCCCCCCATAGTCAACAGACCCGTCTAGGCAGTAACACCACCAGCGCCCTCACTTGCGCGGTCAGTGCCTCGTCAGTGAGAGGTGGCAGTCCTCTCCGTGGCTCCAAGCCAGGCAGCTGCAAGCCTTTTTAACCAAGCCACTTGGTTTAAAAAATGATCTGACTTTCCCTCTGGTTCACCCTGTCTGTCTTGCACCATAATCTCTGGAATAAGATCAGTCCCTCCAAAAATAGTTATTGCCAGCAAACAGCAATAGTTCACATTTTCAGATGTGCTTTTTCACCAGTTGTGCTACACCTTGCTGGTGTTGGTGCGCACTTTCTTGGCTCTTCCAATAAGGGTTGGCCTGATTTGAGGATGGAGGTTTCTGTGGATCTTGTGGGAACCTGCGTGGTCATATCATCTGGATTCCTGAATCGGAAGTGTCCCCAAGGGCAAAGTCACTTTGCCCAGAGGAAGAACAGCGTTCTTGAGACACTAAGTCTATTGGAAATGTGGGGAAAAAGGTGTGCTGTGCTCTAGGGATTCCTGATTGCTTTTTGTGAGAGTGGAGAGCATCACGATAGCTGTGAGAGAGAAAACATTGATGCCATAGTAGCTCAGGTGTTTCTCGATGGCAATGATCTTCTTAATCAGAAAATTCAGCTTCAGTCCATATTTCTTGGTGAGAAAGTTTATTTTGCCAATTTTTCTCTTTCAGATTTCTTGAAGGTTTTGAAACTGCTGAAATTTGTTGTGGTATTTTTTTCTTGGAAGCACAACTTTCAGCTTAGAAATGTAAGCTGAGGTAAAAAAAGTAGATATAAAAAGCCAAAACCAATAAAAATTGTACACCCCCTCTCCAATAAAGCTGAGATTAAATTTTTTGGATAGATTTATTTGAAGAAGAAAAAAATATTACCTTTTTGTTCCGTGGATTTTTAATTGCTATTTTCATTTTCCTGATCCAGAAAGGCAAGAAATACAGAACCACAGGAAAACTGCATCCCTATATCTCTCATTAGCAGTTGAACACAGTGGCTTTAGAGAGAATCATGTGATCCGTAAAGAGTGCAGTCAATACTCTGTGTGTTATGTTGTAGACTATACACACAGCGTGCACCGCTCCCTTTTAGGAAAGCCTGTGGCACCAGCTAAGCTGTGCCCTTACTGGATCACTTTATCTGGTTATTAATTATTTTCTGTTAACATCATACTTCACAGGACGTCTTACACAGTGAGTCCTTCTCAACGGTACTTGTCTTTCGCATCCTGCTTGCAGTAACTTGTTGTTACTTGTGTCGGTCGGACAGATGCAGCCTTTGGTAACCAACTGCAGCAGCAGTTACCTTTGGAGAGATGAAACGGGGGAAAGACCAGGCAAGCAACAGGGAACAAGGGCTAATGGGGGCTTTCTCTCGAGACTGAAGCCGAAACAGATTTCAGCCTTTTAATGCTGTGGCATATCATAAAAGAAGATGTCTCTTAAGGTTTCGGAGTTGGCTTATGCTGGTTTAACTGTAGTATTAACAATTTAGCATCATTGATCCTCCTGAAGATGAATTGCTTTTGGTTTTGCTCTAGGGGTGGCTTTCAGTTAACCCTGACCCTTTGCATAGCTGTGTGGTTGCAGGGGCTGTGCCAAGGGTGTGAGCAGGAGTTGGTGGTTTGGAAGGGGGATGGCACGGGACCACACTTTAGAGTAGCAAAGCAGTCTTAGCTTAGACAAGATTAACCATTAGACTGCCTCAGCTGAAGTGACTCCTAGGGAAAAGAGTTTTTGCCTGCATGGTGAGCGAGACTGGAGACCTGATGCGGGCTAAAACCAACCCGAGGGGCAGCCCAAGCAGTGCTTGGGATGAGTAGTGGAGAAATAGCGGGATCGAGTCTTCCAGCACCAGAACTGGCTTACTTTATGTCGTGGTTTAACCGCAGTTGGCAACTAAGCACTACCCATCCGCTTGCTCGCTCACCCTCCCTCCCCCGGTGGGATGGGGGAGAGAATCAGAAGAGCAAAAGTAAGAAAACTTGTGGGTTGAGATAAGAACAGTTTAACGATTGAAATAACAACAACAACAACAACAATAAATTGTAATGGAAAGTAAAACAACAAAAGACAGATAGAGGAACAAAACCCAGGAAGGAAAAAAAACCAAGAGGTGATGCAACCGCTCACCACCCGCTGACTGATGCCCAGTCAGCGCCTAGGCAGCAATGGCTGCCCCCCCGGCCAACTCCCCCCAGCTTATGTACTGAGCATGACGTCCCATGGT